TCCCCCATTTTTTTTTTTTTGTCTAAATTAAACCAAATTTTCATTTCTTACCTAAATTGGGTTCATTGACAGAGAAACAAACGTAGACATTGTTAACAAAGAGATAGTTATTATTACAAAAACAAAATAAAACTCAGACCAAACAGTAGCTTACCTGGTCATGAAAATTCTCCTCCTCTTCTGTGTTCCTCTTTGTCTCTCTGACCAACGGAGAAAAGAAATGTCCCAAATCGAATTTCTTCTTGAACCGTTGCAACGTTACTCGAAAAAGAAGCCATGAGTGTTGATAAGAAGTTGCGAAGAACTTGGCCTTCTTCTCCGATTCCATTGCCGAGCAATCCCTGAAACATCGGAGGGAGAGACCGACCGGAGAATTTTAGTCTATCATCAATGATTCTTGGGCTTTACTTAGTAGAAGCCCGTTTTATCTCCATTCCATCAGAAGCCCATATCGAATTTTAGGCCCATTACAATATTATTATTTGCTGAATTCATCAGATCACAATTATGTAGTAGGGAGATTAGATATGGTCTCGGATTCATTTTAAGATGATTGAAAGTATTTTTTGTTTTTTTCTTTATATGATTGACAATAATTACCCTACGTGAATATACAAGTAGATACTTTGTTTTTCTTTTGTAATTAGTTCTTTGTGAGGTTCTTTTCTTGTTATTAAAAAATGATCTTTGTTATAATGAAAAGAAAAACAAATATTTTTTTTTTATATAGATTTGTTGTATAAGCAATATTGCTTGCATTGGAGTTAAATGAAAAAACTTTGAAAATCTAGTGACAAAGGAAAAAAAAACAAAGATGAGGAGTAGAAGGAAGGGAAATAAGAGTTGTGTTTATATATAGAATAAGGTCAAATAGATAAATACAAAATAAAATCAATTATGAGATAGATGATCCGGAAATTATGCAAATGGCGGGGCATGGATGATGTCATGATTAACATCTCTTGATCCCTTCCTTGTACCATACGTATATATAACCCTCATGAGTATAAAACTTATATTTATACTTCAATAAGTATGAAATTCACTAGTTAGAAGATTATAAAAATAAAGAACTTATGAAAAATGAATGGAAAAAAACATATAACTAAAAGACTCTTAAGAAGTGTTAAGAAATTAGAACTCTACCTAAATATTAAATGACAAAAAGTTTTTTCATAAACATTGGAAGATCGATAATCATAACAAATTTAAGCATGTCTACCACATTTTTCATTAACACATATTTTGACTTCAAAAAGTCCACAATGTTCATGTAAACAAGTAGTTGCCTGTTTTTCTCATCTTTCAACGATGCATTTTTATTTCTAAAGCGGTTGAACCCACTCATTTCTTGGCAAGGAGGACCACCACAAATAACGTCAACACCGCCTTAAATTAAATAGGCGTAAGTTTCAATGACATTCATCACAATAGCAGAAATGTACAAGTATTTCACAGTTAAAGTATGTACTTCTTTAATCAACCTTGGAATCAATTCTATGATATCTTTCTAATGATCAACTCTTTCTCATACCTTTCTTTCACTTGTTTAATCATCTCTGCAACATTGTCTTAATCAAAGGAAATTAAATCCCAACTAAATACGAAATTAATAAAAAAAAAATTCAAGTAAATTGGAAATTATTCAAACCTTAGCAAGGTCATTGATGAACGCATTCATCGCAATTAGAAGTTTCATAAGATTCTAAACATCGTCACAAACAAAATCGCATCGCTATCTAGATAGTAACGTATCGCATGAATTCGCTACGAAAAAAACATTCGAATAAAATCAAATGCCAAAAAAATGATCTAATTTAGGGTTCATATCCAATGCAACTAGATCTGATTGAAAACGAATGTGATATGGATACGATAGAGATCGAATGCGATGAGAATCTAACTTTTTTAACATCTATTTTTATTTATATAAAATCCAAAGTTAGGTATTAATACATACAGAAAATAAGAGAATTACAACGTCAATGACATTCATCACAATAGCAGAAATGTAAAAGTATTTCATACTTAAAGTATGGACTTCTTTAACCAACCTTGAACCAATTCTATGATGAACTGTTATGTTACTAACTTTGTTTAGTCCCTTCCACAACTAACTCAAACAATATAGTTCAGATGAGCAGAAAAAGACATATAGACACGACATGATAGAATCAAATAAAAAAAAGACTAAATAATGTTAATTATTGAAGCATTATAATTCAGTGTTAAACGATTGTCTAAAGGTTTGAGGTCTAAAGAAATATATATATTATGTCATTAAAAAGATGGTAAATCATCTCACTAAAGATGAGAAATAGAAAGTAAGGTGAAAATTAAATATACGATTTTATTCAAAATATTGTATTTGATTTTTTTTGAATTATAAATGAATAATTTGAAAATGTTATAATACCACATTTTAAAATATATAAGAGGTATAAGATTTCTACACATAAAAGGTAAAAAATAAATGGTCACACACTATTCATGAATTGTACAACAAACCACATAAAAAATGATATATGATCTCTGTAGTATATTACATGTAAAAGTGTAGGTTTACACCATGATCCAAGTGAAATACATATTTGATAAATGAATCAAATATTTTTACCTGAAAAGGCTAGGAGAATTTTTTTTTTTAAAGGTAAAAAATTAAGATTATGCATGCATTGCTTCAACTTTATTACTATATGGGTCAACATCATTATTTTATTAGGTTTCATTTTATTACTATACGGTACCGAATGTTTAACAGTACATAACAATCACTTATCGAAAGCTATAGTGTATATATATATATGTATTTATATAATCTTAAAATAATAAAGAAAACATAAAAATAAATAATTTATTTAAATTTTCATCACTTAATTAAATAAAATTGTAAACAAAAAAATAGTATATGATAATCAAGTGGTTTTTGCATGTCATACAGATAGTAGAATTGTACAGCTTTTATCGATCTAACATAATACTACACATACGTTATAAGAAATAAAAACAAAATTATGGTAAGACTTAAGAAGTTAATATATAGTATACTACACGTACGTTATAAGAAATAAAACAAAATTATGGTAAGAGGTTGATGTTGGTAACAAAATGATTGGTTGCATAATAATTCACAACATGCATTTTAGCAGCTGGTCCGAAGGGGTTAGTAAAGATGTTATGGTGGACCGTTAGTTCGCAAGTCAAGTCGAATTGGTGGTTCTTAAAAATTAATACCAATCTGTGATTCATCCGTATTGGTTTAGCAAAAAAATCATGACTAAACCCAATCAAGCTAGTTTAAAATTAAATTCGTCATGCGCTAGCTATATCTAAACCAAACATATGTTTTATCACATGCAATTAGAGTATTACGACATGATTTTGATTCAAAAACAGATACAATTTTTTTTTACCAAAAAAAATACAGAGACGATATTTGAGATAATTTTGAATATACATAAAAAATTGGGACCCATATTTTTTTCAAGAACCTTTTAAAATACCAAATATCACATGCCATATATAGTTTTAAACGGTCTGGACCAAACCATTAGTTTTCCTACACTGTTTGGTTGACCGATATGTGATTTGCGGACCAAAACAATAATGGATCTTAAGCCAAAAAAAAAAATTGACAAAATAAAGATTATACCATAAATCATGAGCCAGTTCAATACGAACGCATCGAAACCATTTGGCCCATTACAACATAATTAGGTATTTAGGTGTGAGTTGTTCATATACATGGGGACAAACAATATGAGGCGTTTGGTAATAACAGGGATTGATCCTAAGAAAATGAAAATAATTTCTTCATTACAAAAAAGAAAGAAAAGTGTTTAGATATGATCATATCTATTTACATGTTTTTCTTATCCGTGCTAGCATACCAACATATTTTTCTTCCACACGAAAAAAATAATAATACGAACAAGCCTCTACGCTTGAGTAGCTGATCAATATGATTATTTACTCGTCGCCTATTCATTTTCACCTTTATCATATAAAAAATGTCCCGATAATGGTTATTAATGACTACCGAACAAAAATATATCGTCATGTGGTTCTACTTGCTTGTAATTATTAAGGTAAGTCGTTTTTTCTTTACTTGCGGCAGAGAATCAACACTGGCCTTTGCTTTATCCTTTAATATTATCTTCTCAATACATTTAGAACTCCTCATAATAAATATGAAAACAGTACAAATTTACTTCCTTTTAATTATATAGTAGCTTATCTAGCCATCCGTTTAGTAAATAGATACAGTTTTGTTGTGGATATATATGTCTTTCACTACAAAAAAACATATCAATTTTGACCAATCTCACAAATTTGTGTGATTGGATCCAAAGACTTGGAGCGGTTGATTTGATCACAACTACGTAAGAAGTAAAACCGCGTTCTTGTTACTTGTGATTGTTACCTACATTTCATTTTATTTAAATCACCGAAAAAGATCCGTGATTCTATAAACCAAAGAAAAATTCAATACAAAATTCCAACCCTGTTAATGCCTCCCTATATTAATGATCAACCTTGTCGGGTTATTTTAAATGAATAATAGAAAAACAGTCGATCGCCGCCACGCAGTATATTATCCAGCATTGCTCTTTGAATCGAATTGTGCATAACTTGGTAATAAAAACAAGGATTGGGACTTGGGTGGGCTATGCATGCTAATTAACTCTTTACATTCCGCAGTTGGATTAAGATAATGTAAGCAGTGTACGATACGAGCGTGATTATAGATAGTAAATATGAGTAAATATAGTAGGTTTTTATGTATTAAATCTATTTAATTAAATCAAAATTCATATTATTTTATATTTGAGTTTCTAAATATAGCATCTATATTATCTCATATTTAGGTAATTATACATCTCTCTTTTTTTTTTCTCTTTTCATCAATCTTAATACAATTAATATTATAAAATTTATATATTATCCCAATATATTTTACTATCTATAATCATGTTCTAAGCCCGTGCATGAAGTCCTTAGGGTTGTTATATTTTTTTCTTCCTGATTTGTCGTCACATTAGGATAGTTATAATTTTATAATTATTGGATGCAAACTGGCAGTTTGAAATAATCTCCCTCTTCTCTACTACCGTCTCTGTCTCTCGTTACATAGATTTTTCCGAGCAGTTAGGATTTTCTACTACTATCTATATATAGTTTTATTACTTATATATATAATAAAGAGGTTCGGTGGTACCAATAAAAAACAAAAAAAACACAATGTTCGTTTTTAAATATACACATATATAGACGAAGTGTTAGGAAATAGGTATAATCTGTCACACAT